CACCTGGTATTTATGCAAAAACACTCGACGAACAGGATCGACTTTTTGATCTTGTAATGAAAAGATTGAAAAAGTTAAGTTGGAAACTAGAACCTAGAGATATATGTATATATATATGTGTGGTACACTGCATACATTGTTCCATAACACATGTAAATTGTTTTCTGAAAAATAAATGCTTCTTCATACTGTTATACATTAAATAACATCAAAATGCCTCATGCAGTTCAAGTTTAAAGTTTAAAAAATAATGTTACAGTACATGCGAGAAGTCTTTATTATGTACCTTACAAGGAAAAGTGTCCAATCGTACCAAACGTTAGCTGCTTTTTTTAAATATTTTTAAGTATCTATTTTTTACGATTTTATAAGCTACTTTTACCCCAAAGGGACATGGAACTTTTAATATATCTGTTGTATTTTGATCACAAAACCTTACGCAGTATTTTTAATTCAAAAAACGAAGAACTATCATTACATACAATACTGTGTGAGGTTTTGCAACTGAAATAAAACATAACATGTAATCTCATTGCGTATGAACAGTAGCGTAAAAAACTTAAAAATTCAGATCTTTAAGGAGTCAGTGCACATGAATGTCCAACTCAGTCAAAAATTTATAGCTATTAATATGCCTATAATTTATAGCTATAATTATAGCTATAAATACCTATAAAACAGCTATAATAATGTATAAAATTCAGCTATAAATATAGCTATAAACTACAGCTGTAAATTTTTCACAAATAATGGATAAAAATTAGTTTAAAATCAGATTTTTTCAACATATATCGATGTGTACAGATGGTATCATCCGTATGACAACAGTAAAACTGGGGACCTGAAGTATTTTTGAATAAGTAGAAAAAAAAAACAAGAAATCATATACAATTTCAAGTTTTTTAAAAATTGTTTAAAAATACTCTAGGCCCTGAGTTTTACTGTTATCACACGGATGATAGCGCCTTTACTGATCGAAATATGTTGAAAAAATCTGATTTTAAACTAACTTTTATTCAAAATTTGTGAAAAGATTACAGCTGTAATTTATAGCTATATTTATAGCTGAATCTTATACATTATTATAGCTGTTTTATAGGTAAGTACATCTTTGTTGTAGGTACCACAAAGAAAATTGTCTGCGTATTAAAGTTTTTCCGAGCGCTAATCACCTNTAGAAATAATAAATCGAACTTTATTGTTATTTGGCTTTGGTAAACACGTGCGCTTAGGCATATTGTGCATGAACATGAAAGAGAAATTTTAATTTTTGCATTTTTAACAATATTTCAGGAAAAAAACTGTTTTGCAATTCAAACACTGTAAATATCTCATATATGTTGAAGAGAACGAAGTATTTTAAATAATTTAAATATTTTATTGACGTTTTTTACCTCCTTAAGTGTCAGTGCTCAAGGTAGTGCACGTTATTTGGCCTCACTGAAAACAATTTTAAATTTTAAATAAGTAAATATTAAGATTTAAAAATAAAACCCTTAATAACGTCTACTAGGGATAATTTTTTGTTAATAAATGAAGGTAGACAATGAACACTGCATATCTATCAATTATTTAAACCAACGTATAGGTATTTGTTATTTTATTATATTGTCGCATGGGAGAAATAACATAATAACTTAGTTATGGGTCAGAGAATGGAACCTAGGTATGTGCAAAAGAATGAGTTACCGTAGTATTTAAGGTGTAAAAGAACTGCTCGGTGTTTTACAATAAAACGTATAACTTATTTATGAGGTATAAAGCGCAAACTCTGCAACTGAAGGTAAAGACGCGGACACTAGAACTTAAAGTTAAGTAGTCCAGTTCCCCCTAAAAATATTATGTTTTTCTATTTCCATGCAATATTTAACATGTACTTTTTTATTTAAAAATGTTAAACAGTCTTTTTTTAAATTTAAATATTGATTTGGCCATCTCTCAAACTTATAACTATGTGGTCATTTTGTATTTTTAGCTCAGGCGATGATATGCATACATATTCTTATACATGTGTTAAATTGTTATTCACACACGTTCTCTGGAGAGGTTTATTTGCATACGTATCGCAAAGATGTCAGGTTACTCCAAACAACTCACTCACGAGTAAATAAAATATAGCTTTATTTTAAAAGTAATGTAAATATAAAAATGTATTCAGTTACTCCGTAATACGCCGTTACACGCGTTATCTCGCAGCTAGCTGCCAAGCGTACGCATCTGCCTTGTACCGTGGGCCAGATCGTTCTGCCTCACTCGAGTACCGCAGCGCCTCTACATGCTCTCTCTCGTAACATGTATATAGTCAAGTAAAGTAAGGGAGACGACAGGGCGACAGGTTTGCGGCGTTCGCGCGCTTGCTCAGCAGACTCAACTCACGCACATATATATATATTTGGCACACTGAATACATTGTTCCATAACATTCGGCCATCCTTACAGGTTTGGACCTCCAAACATCTCTAGTTTTTTTTATTACATTAATTCTTATTACTTAAACATAATAATGATTATTGGATATTATTGGATTTTTTTTTATGCACAAAAAAAATATAATCTAAGTTTTTAAATCTCTTCTTTCGCTAAATCGAATTTTGAATCATACATATCAATCTTAAGAAATGGAAAGATAGAGAGAAAAAGAAGAAAAAAAAAAAAAATTTAATTATCGTTCATTCCTTGAAATCAAATTAAATAAAATCATTTAGTTACAAAATCTTTTAGATATCTTGGTTTCTTTTTCTCTCTAACTGGTCGCATATTTATAGTAACCTCGTTAGATTTTACAGAATTTGTTTGTGGGCGCTTAGAACTTAGTGTCTTTTCAACCGTAGTGACAAGTGGCACATTTTCACTACTCTCAAGATCATTCATGAAATTACCATCTGTCTCTCGGTTTTCAATTTCTGGAGTGCTATCGCCTGAAACACGCTCGCAATTATTCTCACTCTCATTTTCGCTAGTGTTTTCATCGCTTTCCTCATCGGAAACATTTTGATTAAAACCGGTCCATATTTTAAGCTGTTTTACATGTGCTGTGGTTTCAAAATTACGATCATTAGATTCATTCAACTTTTTCACACGATAAGTATCGCTAGGACCAACACCGACAATGACAAGAGGTCCTCCGTACACTCGTTGTAGCTTAGTTGAATAGCCCGTGGCTACCGGATTTCGCTGCATGTATACAATATCACCGATTTTAAAAGTTACATTAATTCGACGATTTTTATCGTATCGCGCTTGTTCTGCTTCAATTCTCCCTCTTATCTCATTTTGTACATTATTCGGTAAGGTATAAGTTTCGCAGTTCGTCGTAAGATTTCGCACCTGTCCGTCGTCGAAACGCGGCAAATATCCTAATAGGGCTTCAAAGGGCGTCTTACCCGTAGTAGCGCTCACCGACGAATTTATATCACGCTCGATATTTTTAACGTTCTTGTCCCAACTAAATTCATCTTCCCCAGCAGAAATTCTCAACGCGGGTATTAAAGTTTGATTTAGCCGTTCTATCATTCCGTTCGCTTGAGGATGCCTGCTCGAGTTTAAGGTATGATTGATCCCGTACTTGAGACAAAACTCCTGAAATATATGAGACGTGAAACTGGTTCCACGATCGGTAATTAGTTTTCTAGGTGCACCATATAATTTCACGAACTCTTCAAACTTTTTAACAGTCGTTGACGCCAGTACGTTTTTGACCGGAACTATAAAAACAAATCGCGTCAAATTATCTATAAGTCCTAAAATATATTTATTATTACCCGTAGTCGTAGGAAAAGGTCCTACATGGTCAGCGTGTACAATATCAAAAGGTCTTTTTCCAGGAGGAATTGGGTGTAGTTCTCCTTCGCCTGGACTTGCCTTTTTCTTTGCTAAAATACACTCAAGGCAACATTTAATGTGTTTCCGAATATAGCGTCACAGTCTAGGAAAATAATAATATTCTTCGATCCGTTTTGCTGTCTTTTCTACTCCGAAATGACTTTTTAAATCGTGGTATTTAATTACAAGGGATTTCCTAATAACTTTAGGAACAACAAATAGTTCGCGACTCAGTCCTCCACGTTCTACCTTTTTATACAATAGTCCATCGCGCATCAAATAATCTCTAACTTTTCCGCATTCATCTCGATTTCTTTCGTTTTTGGGTTTCTGCAAAATTTTAATTAACACTAACATATCAACATCAGACCTCTGAAATAATAATATTTCCTCTTCTCTAGTTTCAATTTTTAAAATTATATCGGGTTCAGGGAATTTGTCTTCATCAACCATTAAAGGAGCCCGGGATAATGCGTCAGCATGCTGCATTTGATCACCTCGGCGATGTTTGATTTCCAAATTGTACTCCGCGATCGCGCTCATCCATCGTGCAATTTGTGGATTGCAAGTTTTCCACGCATTCATGTGAACTAAACTCTGGCAATCAGTTACAACAACAAATGGTATACCAATTAGAAAAGGGCGCAATCTTTCTAATGCCCATGCAATTGCCAAGAGTTCGAGTCGACTTGAATGATATTTTTCTTCGGCATCGCTGGTACTTCGACTTATCGCATATACAAGACTTAAAGGCTCTCCCTCTCGATCAGCCTGAAGTAACAACGCGCCTATTCCAACTGACGAAGCATCTGTATGCAGTTCCGTTTTAGCTGCTCTAGGGTTGTATAATTTTAAGACAGGTTTTGACAATAATTTTGCTTTAATTTCGTTAAACGCATTTTCCTGTTTCGTGCTCCAATTAAATTTACAGTCTTGTTTAAGTAATTGAGACAAGGGTTTTGTAATGCAAGCAAATCCAGGCACAAATCTCCTAAAAAAGCTGGCTAATCCTAAAAATCTACGTATTTCGTGCTTGTCTTTTGGCCTTGGAAATTTGTCAATAGCAATTATTTTTCGATCGCCGGGTTGCACCTTACCTTCACCGATCGTGTACCCTAAATAGTCGATTTTACTTTCCCCGAATAGACATTTAAACAAATTTAAAGTCAAGCCGGCATCCTCAAGTAAAATTAAAATTTCTTCCAAATTTTTCATTAAATCATCCCATGATTTTTCACTGACACAAATGTCGTCAAAAAAATTGAACGCTATTCTCCGACGTCTTGCCACTCCAAGTACTCGATCCATCAGCTTAGCAAAATAACGGGGAGCATTAGACAACCCGAACATGGCTCTCTCGAAACGCCCCGTTTGAGTTTCCGTTATGAAAGCTGTGGCATCTTTTGATTCGTCGGAAAGTGGCATTTGTAAATATCCCTGCGCCAAGTCAAGTTTAGCGAAAACCTTTGTGTCGGTAAGTTTTTCTAAAAGATCATCGAAATTCGGTATTGGATAATGAATAAGTTTCGTCACTTTATTGAGTTTACGATAATCTATGACCATTCGAGGAGAACCGTCACTTTTCCTAACAATAAACGCTGGACTGGCGCAGTCGGAATTTGTTTCTGTTATGATTCCCGCTCTTTTGTACTCGTCTATCAAACATTCTAAATCGCCCCGGTCTCGTGCATTTAACCTATATGGTTTTGAGCGAATCTCAGTATTTTTATCATATTCAATATCCATTGTGATCTTGTCCGTTTTTCCTATTTCTGATATATTTTTCGCAATACAGTGGCGATATTTATTTAGCAACCGAACAAGATCATCTTTTTGATTTGTCGTGACCTGAGAACTAACAAAAACTTCTGCACTCGTGACCTTTTCCTTTCGTACTTCTCCTGGCTCTAGTTGCTCTACTCGCGTCACGGATTCGCATATACGGTCTCCGATTTGCATGATTTCATCCTTATTACTCAGATTAACGACGGGCATTTTAAGTTCATGGGAATCAACTAAAACATTAATTAAATTTATTGACCCTGCTTCAAGCACAACTTTTTCTAGCGAAACCGCTTTATTCGCAGATTTATTTTTAACGACATTCGACTCAACGTCAGCAAAAATCAATTCATCGCCTTTACGAATATAGCTAAGATCTGGCGTCTCTGTGAAAGTCCGGCCTAACATTACATCAAATTCTTGCGCCTCATCCGGTACAACTCGCAAAATTAACTCTCGCGGTTTTAAATTGTCGAGAACGACATTAGCGCACATTACCCCAGGCGACTTCACAGTTCCGCCTCCGAACGCCCCCAACACCGATTCAGAGCCTATTATAGTGAAACCGCCACTTTTAGCTGCTGACTCTGCCATCGTGCATGGTGCCGCGCCCATATCAATCTGAGCAACAAATCTACTTCCACCTATTTTAACTTCCCTAATAAACTTTTTAACCGACTCTTTTCCGCTTACTGGACAATAAATACTATTAATCTCAGTGATTTCGACCGACGTGTTCTTTTTCCCGCCCGGCTGATTGTACATGCAACGTGACGACACGTGTCCTTGACGTTTACACGTAAAACAGGTTAACTCGCGTTTCGGTTGTATACAATCGCGCGCAAAATGTCCGCTGTTACCGCAGTTATAACACGCTCGAGCTTTCTTGCCTGTTATGTCGTTGTGCTGACTCTTACCCCCATCTCTCGGTTGTTGAGCAGAAGTAGTTGGTTCAGCAGCAGTAGTCGAATTCCCCGAAGTGATGGCTTTCCACGGAGACGTTGGCGTCCCTGGCGCGATTCCATTTCCCCGCTTCATTTCTCGTTGCTGGCCGCGCTGACCAACGATTCTTTCTCGGCGTCCCTCAGAAATTTTTGCCATCCTTGTTATATCTTGCAACATGAGGTCTGTTGATACGTATCGCTGGCCCGCCAGATACGTCGATAAATCATGAGACCATAATCCCGATGCCACTTCATCACGAATTTCACCGACCGAAAATGCAAGTCCTTCACAGAGCCAGATTTTATCTAACACATACACTTGTATATTCTCATCTTTTCCTTGCACTCTTGACATAATAATTTTTAGCTTTTCACTTTTCGAACGCATCTGTGTGAATGCCGTTTTAAAATTCTCACTAAAGGTTTCAAAATTTATAACCGTCGTTGACTTTGTCATGAGCCATTTTAATGCTGCTCCTTGCAACCGAGACTTTGCTATGCTATACGCCATTTCATCACTCCACCCGTAGAGCCTCTTCGCGTTTTCAATTTCATTGAGCCATGCTAGTGCTCGCTCGGGTCCTTCGCCGCCGTAAAATTCGCGAGTAATTCCTTGGCCTCCGACGGCAGAAAGCATATGTCCGGCAAAATTACCTTGTTGAGCTTGAGTGAGAGTTGTAAATGCCTGAGTTTGCGTTTGCATCACATTACTCAGCGCCATGAGTGCTTGGGATATTTGTGGTGACCCTCCTGAATAAGAAGCATTTTGTGACCCATCGAGTGACTGTTGACTTAGCTGAGCTTCTAACTGTTGAATCGCCTGCTGATGTGCACTTTTCTCTCGTTCTCGCTGGTTTTTCAGCATTGCGATCTCAGCCAATGCCTCCTCCAAAGATTTCGCCATCTTGCTCTATCTTTTCACACTGCTTACGAGAGAAAAAAAAATTCTATCACTTCAGTACTTCTACCTTTACGCCTCTTTTTCCAACGCTAACTTTCGGCGTAGTCTCTCGGCGTTATCCCACTTCTAAATTATTAAATTGTTATTCACACACGTTCTCTGGAGAGGTTTATTTGCATACGTATCGCAAAGATGTCAGGTTACTCCAAACAACTCACTCACGAGTAAATAAAATATAGCTTTATTTTAAAAGTAACGTAAATATGAAAATGTATTCAGTTACTCCGTAATACGCCGTTACACCCGTTATCTCGCAGCTAGCTGCCAAGCGTACGCATCTGCCTTGTTAGACCAATTAATAGGGGGGTTTCGCATCAAATAAATGCCAACCATGATATCTCAGAATAATGGTCTTCGTTATGATGTTTAGAAATAACGTATCCAAATTCCAATAGCTAGTTTTTTCTTTTTTTTTTTTATGAGCTGCTCAAGGACCGAAAAACTTGTTTTTGCTTNATTATTACATTTAAATAAACATTTATAATAGTTATTAAAAACTTATGCCTTACTTGGATATAAAGCCCGCTCAGGAGTAACTTTAAGAGAGATGATATTGTTTGTGAAGAAAATAATGTTCCTGAATATTATCTAGTTGGTTAACTATCAGAATTAAGATTGGGGAAAATTATATCCATTTATAATTGGATGATTCAGTTGTGAATAAGAAAAACAATTACACATGGTACTTATACTTTATATAGACGTAAATTTTTGGACTGATATCTCATCCTCTCTGGGCACGCGGTAAGATGCTTGCCTGATAAACTGGGAGCTCGAGTTTGTGTCCCATATAAGCCGAAGTTGTTTTTTTTCCTGTAACTGTTGATTTTTTAGGTAATCATTCTATTGATGTATAAATTATAATTGTTGCACAAAATTTTTTTATTTATTTTTCTTTCTGAAATCTCACCTGAGATCTCAGATGAGAATTTGGCATGAGATCTAACCTGAGATCTCAGGTGAGAAATCACATGAGATATCAGGTGAGAAATCACATGAGATATCAGATGAGATCTCAGGTGAGATTTGTCAGGAGGGTTGGGCTCTCTGCCCCGTGCTTAATGCCACACACCAGGCCACGTAGCTGGAAATTGCACGCAACTTCAAATGCAAGCCAAAAATTTGCTGCATTGTCAACTGTGCAATAAAAATGGTCAGACTGCCGCTACCTGTAAGGTATGTGCGTATTGTAAAAACACAGGCCACACGATACAAGAATGTAGAAAGAAACAATATAATGATCACAAAAGACAAGAAAACCAGAGAAACTATTTGGCCCCTCAGGTTATGAGTGCAACTTTAGAGACGCTGAACAGACGAATTAATACCCTTGGTATAATACATAAAAATGAATACGTACCTTACGTAAATTTTCACTTAGGTGGAAATCCGGTAAGCCTCATGATAGATTCTGGATCTCATGAAAATCTAATCAAAGTTGGAGGTTATCCTAATGGGATTGACATAGACTATATCGACGCAGTAGAATTTCATGGAATTATAAATGAAGCTATTTTCTCCATTGGAAAAATTATCTTGAAATTATTTGGTACAGATATATATTTTCTTGTAGTTGAACAATCATTTGCAATACCGCATGATGGCATTTTGGGAATAAAGTTCTTACAAGATACGAAGTGTGAACTGAACTTTGAGCACAAACTCTTGAAACTCCCAGGACGAGTTATCGGTTTTAAACGAAATTTTGGGTGTAATCCAACTCCTATATGTCACTTAAATATTAATGAGATTCGCGGAGAATTTTGATTCTTTAACATATATAGATCTAAAAAAAACTGTTAGTAGACACTGGATCAGAAATCAGCATAGTAAAAAAATAGCTAGTTTCAAAAGATTGCAAAATAGACAAAAGTAACACCAGACTTAAAATGGGAATTGGGCAAATTCAAGAGGAAACTCTCGGCTTGACTACTATTAATCTAGGAGGTATTTATGTAGACGTTCAAGTAATATATTACGACTTCAACCTACCTTTCGAAGGGATTCTCGGCTCAGATTTCCTCACTAAATTTAAGTCTAGACTCAATTTTTCAAATAAAATAATGGCAATGAATGAAGAAAAAATTCCCCTTTCAATAAGAGACACACATGTAAAATGAAAAAGCCAACAAGAATCCGAGCTTAGATATAGTGATTCGAACGAGTCAACGAGTAATGAGATTTATACGTGCAAATCACAAGCAGAATCGCTGTCAGAACTATAAGACGATGATATTAAAGACCTTTTCTGTAACGGAGCTATAATCAACGAATTTTATAGCCTTGGTAAAAGGGAAACATACATAAACTTAATGGATAAAACTTTTAATGAACTCGATTTTACTTAGAAGGAGACGAGCTCACGGCTACTAACATAGCTACACATCGCATACAAACAATAGAAGATCTTCCTGTAACTACTAAGAAATACTGGCTCCCTCATGCTTTAAAAGACGAAGTCGAGCGCCAAGTACATGAACTGCTTAAAAATGGTAGTATACAACGGTCGCGATCCGGCGGTAACACAGCTCTTTGGATCGTTTCAAAAAAAAGTTCTGACGGAAGCCTAAGTAGCGTGTAGCTCTTGATTTCAGGCCCTTAAATAAAAAAAATAATACCAATGAGTTTTCCACTTCCCAACATAACTGATGTATTAGATCAAGTAGGAAACTCTAAATATTACACAGTCATAGATTGCAAATCAGGCTTCCATAAAATTCTAGTACACCCCGACGACATACATAAAACAGCATTTTCTACCCCAAACGGACATTATGAATTTGTCAGAATGCTTTTTGGCTTAAGAAATGCCGCTATCGAATATCAGTCGGCTATGTCACGAACTCCCAACGGATTACTAGGCAAGGGAACTTTTCTGTATATGGACGACATTGTTATTTATGCAAAAACACTCGACGAACAGGATCGACTTTTTGATCTTGTAATGAAAAGATTGAAAAAGTTAAGTTGGAAACTAGAACCTAGTGAATTCAAACTGATGCAACGAGAGGTTAATTATTTAGGGCATTTCATAACCGAAAAAGGGCTCTAAGTCCTGACCTGAAAAAAATTAAAGCAGTAAAGTTATACCCTCGTCCTAAAAACATAAAAAATGTTAGGCAATTTCTAGAATTTGCAGGATATCACCGGTGTTTCATTGAAAATTTTGCTAAAAAGGCTAAACCCTTGACCAAATTGCTCCAAGGTAATGAAAATTTTCATTGGACAAATGATCAAGGAACGGTGTTTCAGGAGCTAAAGGGAGCATTGTATACAGCATCGCTCTTACAATTTCCTGACATGAGTCAGCCATTTATTATCACGACAGATGCCTTAGGCTACGTTATAGAGGGTATTCTGTCACAAGGAAAAATCGGAAACGATTTACCCATCACGTATACTTCTCGCGTATTGAGAGGACCCGAGCTTAGATATGACACATATGAGAAGAAAGCACTAGCGATTTTACACTCTGCAAACTTTTCGCCCATACATATACTGCCAAAGGTTTACTATAGTCATGGATCACCAACCACTTATATGGTTTCAAACTGCAGACATTAATACATGAGTGTAGAAATGGTGATTCGAATTATCCAAATATGATTACGGAATAATTTAGCGCCCAGGTAGATTGAATCTGCCTGCAGACGCATTATCACGTAATTTGATAGTAACAGAACAGGTAAATGTGTTAATCAGAAGACAAAAATCCTTACAAAATGTCGAAGAAAAACCCTTAGAAGAAAGCGAAGGTACCCAAACCGCAGAACCTAAGCCGCTTGAAAAAACGCGCTATTGATCACCAAAATCACCTCAAAAAGGGCTTGGCTAGGATCACACCAGAATTACCAGATGATACTTAACAAAAAAATTCACAAATAAAAATCAAGAAAAAACGAGGCCGAACAAGGAAAACGAAAAACAGTGATAAAAATAAAGAAAAATCACTGATCAACAACGTTTAGAGCAAGGAAAAATCAAAAATAAATTAAACAATCCCATGGATGTAGAATCGTCTGACGATAATATGAATGAAGAAGGTGAAGCTAAAGATCTTAATCTTAACAATGATAAGCTTTTTACCTAGGAAGGACTCTATTACCACTGGAGACGAAAGAAGCAACACTAAATATGGTGTCAGCAATATCGTCGAAACAAAGGACTTATTAGAGCATAGATTAGATAATATAATATATTTTATCGACACGACAGGCGCCCCACTAGACGAGGGTGCGCGTAGATTATTTAAAGCTAATAAAATACCAGTTAACCAACAATTAGCATTAGGAAGCATTAAAATTAAGAAATTAACGAATAAAAGATATCAATAAGCTCTCTTTATCACAGATAAAGAGCAAGTATTACAAATTATAATAAAAAACTAAATGCAAGATTCATTCAAAAAATTGCTAATTGTTTTGACAGACAAAAATTTAAGTACCACAAGCATATCTAAGGGTATAAAAATACGTAATATAAATTGGGCATAAATATATAGTATGATCAAAGGTACATTTACTTATAGTAATATCAAGATCATAGTATGTAAAAATTCCGTTAAATATGTAGAAGATAAAGGTAGAGATAAAATTTTTTACGAGCTCCATAAATCACTCGTTGGAGGTCACAGAGGTGTCTCAAAAACTTTCGGCCACAAACGCCAAGAGTACTACTGGGAAGGACTAAAGGATGATATACAACGACGTATTCAGTAATGTCTAGAATGCCAATTAAAAACATTAGTAAAATTAAAAACTAAGCAGCCAATGCTAAGTAACAGACATGCCTGGTACCGTATTTGAGAAGGTTGCACTCGATATTGTTGAATGCCTACCTAAAACTAGAGAAGGAATCAGTGTATCTTAACGATGCAAGATGAGCTGTCAAAATTTTGCATTGCAGTACCGTTAAAAGATGCAACATCTTCCACGATAGCCGAC